ATTAGATCGAGAAGTGGAATTAAATTCTTTCCACCAGCCAATTTCCAGTGATGAACTAATATATCGAAAATTTAGCATGGAATACAAAGAAGAAGCCAAGTTTTTTGAGAAAATGTTGATTTATAGGATTCAATGGTTACATGGATCTAGATAAGTTTATCAAGTGACTTCAGATAATGGAGCAAATCATAAAGCTCCACAACCTACGTCATAGAGACACTTCTATGGAGGAGTACACAACTAACTTTGATCAACTCATACTGAAATGTGAGTTGGTTGAACTAGAGGAGCACATAGTGGCAAGTTAATTTGGAGGATTGAGATCATCTATTAGAAATATGGTTCAGTTGCAGCCTTATTACTTAATGTACATACCCTTGCATTGAAAGTGGAGAAAGAACATCATAAGTTGATTGCCACACTTTACAGACAGAGTTCAATTATAGGATCAGGCAAGAGTACACACAGTGGAACATCCTAGCTTACCTCGCTAGAGGAAAAATCAGTTCAGAGTGGAGATAAGATGGAGACCTCTAGCACCTCCAAATTCATCCCAGCCAGAAGTGATTTAAGTATTATGATTTTGGGAACATTGCATTGTCGTTCACACATATTAGCCTTCTCTCGCTATTCTACAACTACCTCCCCTCGAAATCCACTTCCCAAATGCTTTCTAGGAGTCCTAGAACGATATCAGAGCATATTCAGATATGTGAGTAAAAAAATAAAAAACCTTCTAATATAAATCACATAAAAATTTAGGAACATAATAATAGAAGAACATGTTTGATTGGAAACACCATATATGAAATTGCATCAAATTTGTCATAACTCAATCACATGGGTAATCCAAATATTAAGTTTAGAGATAAGAATCAAAAATGTAAGAAACCACTAAATAGATGATCTAAGCCTCACGTCTCCTGGAACTTAAAAGGTTAAATGAAATTGCTTCTAACCAAAAATTCATTCGATCAAAATAAAATTCTAGTGGAATTGTTTTATACTTCCCATTATTACTGTTGTTTTTAACTACAAATCTCTTTCAATTTGAAAGATAGCCTCCTTAATTCTATCTCATAATCAAGAAATTCATAGAGTCGAAGACTTAATTCTTATAGCTAGAAACATAATAAGAAGAAGGTATGCAAGCTATCATTGCCAATAAACAAAGTCATAGAACAAGCAGAGCTGCAAGTTAAATTGTGGAGCTACAAGCTATGGTTTGTTATAGTACTTGAACAACTATAAACTGTTAATCATATAAATGTTACAAATTACCGGTTAGGATAACGGTAGAAGTCCTCCTATACTTCTATCGTACCTTGTTAATCTATTTGATTTGAAGAAGTTGACACTGCGGAGCTGACAGATACTTAGGTGGAGTACTTAGCATTATTCCATTTTGTGCTTAAGCACAAGCAGAGAGTTAGAACTGGGTAGCGATGCACTGAGGTAGTCACTAGTTGATCATTGAGATATAAGCTCCAGTCGTAGGCTTTGAGGTAGTGAATGAAGCTCCAGTCGTGGGCTTTGAGGTAGTGAATAAGCTATACGATACAGACGAGGATTTCAGGAAAATTTGGGAGCAGTGTCAGGAGAAGCTATCGGGCAGTATTACAACGCTGATGGATATTTGTTTTACCAGTGCAAGTTGTACATTTCTAGATATTCACGAAGGGAGTCCATTGTTCAGGAAAGCCACAGTGGAGGACTCATAGGGCATTTTGGCAGGGGCAAGATTCTCGCACTTATGAGAGAACACTTCTTTTTGCCCCGACTACCGAGAGAAGTGGAGTGACACGTCAGACAATGCAGTGTTTATCATATAGCAAAAACCACAGGCAAAATGTATGGTTATACACCCCCTTACAAGTACTAGAGGCTCCGTGGGTGGATATTAACATGGATTTTTTGTCGGGACTTTCAAGGACACAGTGGGATAAGGATTCAATCATGGTCGTGGCGGATCGATTCAAAGAAATGGTGCATTTCATTCCCTGCCACTGGACACCGGATGCATAGCATGTCACCGACTTGCACTTCAGGGAGATTATAAGGTTGCACGGGATACCCAGGACCATCACTTCTGACAGAGATGTCTAGCTATTGAGTCACGTCTAGAGGAATTTTTGGGGAAAACTAGACACTAAGCTTTAATTTAGTTCCGTAGCTTACCCGCAAACGGACGGTTAGACGAAGGTAGTAAAGAAGAGCTTTGGAAATTTGCAGAGATGCTTTCTTGTGAAAAATCTTAAGCAGTGGGATTTGATTCTCGCTTAGGCTAAGTTTGCGTACAACAAATCCGTGAGTTAAACTACAGCTTGCATGCATTTGAGATCGTGCACAGGTGCAACCAGCTTATCCCACTCAAATTGGTACCGCTGCTGCTGACATCCGAGTTTCGTGAGGATGTTGAGGAATGGGTTTAAACTCCATGAGGAAATAAAAAAATAGATCATTAAGCAGAATCGCAAGTTCCAGACACAAGCGAACAAGACAAAGAAAAAGGTGACCTTTAACGAAGGAGATCTACTGTGAATCTAGTTGAAGAAAGACATGTTCCTAGTAGGAGCACTAGGGAAACTCAAGTCCGGAGCATGTGGACCTTTCAGAATATTTTGGAAACTAAATGATAATGCATATAAAAGCAATCTAGCAGGGGATTACAATGTTTCAGTCACGTTCAATGTCTCGGAGCTGACACCATATTATGATGATTACAATGCTTATTGCTTCCTACCTCCTGTCGTCGGCTCGCTACCTCCCTACCTCTCCAACTCTAGCAGCCACCCTGATATCTCCCTTTTCCCTTCCAGATTCTTGTCGTCGGTTTGCTCCCTACCTACCTCTATCCTGTTCCCAGACGACATCCTCACCTGTTATCCCCTACACCCCTGTTTACGGCCGCCAACCTCCCTGCCACCTCCTTCCACTAGCTTTCCTCCACCGGCCACCTGAGATCTTTCTTCTCCCTGATTTCCGCCGCCAGCCACCCATCCTTTCCTATTCTACCCATCCACGTCCAAACTTGCCCTACTCAGCCACCAACCACCAAGCCTGACATTTGTCCCCGAATTTTACTTCTCGGCCCTAGATGGATCTTGATGTTTGTTGTGTTTTCATTTTTTATTTTTTTTCGAGTCTTGATTATAACCCTAGTTGTTTTGCTTGATCATATTTGATTTTGTTATTACGGTTTGAGTATTTCTGGTATCAATGGGTCACATGGGTGCGGAAAAAAATGTGGATTACATGCATAAATGATCATAAGCATAGGTTTAGTGAATATGAAGAAATTGATTGACATTGGTTTGTTGAACACATGGACAATGTAAGAATAGATCTGGTTAGCTTTGATGGCGGGTTAGAAGAGAGAATTATAAAGATTATATATTTACTGAATTTTCATTCTCATACAAGCATTTATACGCCTATATATAGGAAGGAGAATAGAACAGAAAAGGAGAATATTCTCATTAATGATGATATATAACATTAATAAATATTTCATCTCTCTTTTATAAATAGTTAGCCCATATTATAATTTAAATATGATAAAAGGAATGAATAGAGAAACAGATTTCATAAAACCCACCCAATATGGAATCTCATGAAGTCTGGACGATAATTAACCATGCTAGTGATATATATATATATTCGACAGATGATTAACAGGTTTACAAATCTAGGAAGAAGAAAAAAGGAATGTCAAATCTCAGTTACTCTCAGGATGACTGTATCATTGTTTTGGGTGGAAGCCCATACCTCAGTATACTACTGGACTCCCTCCCTAGATCCAGGGGAAAGGGAAGCGATATACCGACCGACTACACCAACCATGATTAGGAGATGTTTCTTTTTTGTTTTATTTTTTGGGGAATACGTTTGTAATCTCTGTGAGTTAGCTCTTTGTACCCAATCACTAAAACTTTTGTATCCTTACCTTTTTTTATCAATGAATTTTGCCTTTTCAATATATATATATATATATATATATCGCATAATATATACCCCTCCCACTACCGAAGACAATACTGTTTCTGTTCTTCCGACTGATGTATTGACAGATGGTTCACTTGGGCATCCTACAGTCTCTATCACTATTTAAAACAATACTGCAAAATCCTTACCTCCAAAGGATATTCTTCGGTCCAATAATCAGGATAGTATCGCAGCTCCACAACCTTAGGAAGCAACAGGTGCTGAGGAGACAGATTTATCATCTCTTCAGAATGAGAATGTTGTTACTATTAATCAAGAGTTAGGGGCTCATCCTCTTCTACATGCCCGACAATCTGTTGATCGCACTGATCAGATGAGTCAGTCTTCGGATGAGGGATGACAGGTATACATATCTAGGAAGAAAAAGAAGAATGGAGGCACACCCCAGCTTAGGAACTTAATGGATGATACTTTAGTAACTTCGGGTAATGTCACGACACTCAGCAATTTGTTAGTTGTCTCTGTTCCTAGAACCAGAGGCAGAGGCAGGACCAAGCTGGCTCGTCCCTAGCAACTGGTTTTCTGCGAGTTATGAATTTTAGAGTTTTATCTATGTCTTATCTTTTTAGGATATTAGTGTCTGTGTATCGTATGGGTAGGGCGTCTTTATTGGGTCCTCTCATACAACATTTATGTACATTTTCAATTTCAATAAAATTAGCCCTCGGGCGTTTCAAAAACAAATATATATATATA